CCCCCCCCCCCCCCAAATCAGCTAATGCATGTACAATGGCCCTTGTAAATTAATAAGTCTAGTTGTAAACATCCTTTTACATAAGATTCTTGTAGATATCTTTTTCATTGTACAGTATATACCCATGAGTATTTAAATAACATTTCATTTCAGTGCAACTGGTATTATTGATGGGACAAAGTCACTGCAATATTCAGGATTGTTTATTTTAACTGTGTATGTTCCAACAATTTCAACATTTCAGCACAAACAAGAATCTTCATAAACTTTTTTTAAACAGGATAGAATGTATTTCTTCAATGTGCAAGTGCCATCCATTATACCACATATCATCAAGAACATTTGAAGAAAAGGAAACATTTCGCAAAGACCAACTGTCTTAAGCTCGTGCGTCAGGAGGTTTTCTTCGGAGCGTGCTGTAAAATGTGGGACTTGAGGGCAGGCATGGTTTTGAAATCCTTTTTGCATACATGGCACCTGAAAATGAAATATAGTCAACTGAGAAATATGTATGCCAGTATAGGAAAACCCACACACTTTACAATACAATACAATACAATACAATGATTTTTATTTTATGTCGGGTATAAATTGAAAGGAAACATTAGCTTTGCAGCTATTCACCGACTGGGTAAGGGCAAACATTACTACAATAATGCAATACTTACACATGAAGTCCAATAAGATAGTAAATAAAAAATCAAATACAAATACACATAAATCTACTAAAATGATAAATGAAAAACTTAAGTGTTTTTACTTGAGGTACAGCCAATCAAGTCTACAGTCATGAAGTCTTCATCTTTATCCTCTAACATTTTGCAAACTTAGACCATTTCTGTCACAGGACCTCTTATACCAAGACCTTAACCTTTATTTGCCTTGACAATATTCCAGGAAAAGGAATAAACTACCAAGTTTTTCTGTGAATCATGAAAGTTAATTTGCAAAGGCAGGGCATTTATTTCTCATGGCTAAGATTTCATTAATCAATATCTTAAGACTGGTGACATTAAAATGCAGTGTCATAAATGAACTTTAGAAGAAAGTTGGTCAAGTGTCTTAAATGAGAAATACATGTAGAGTCTACTTTGGTCTAAATGAATAAATCATAGTGCACTTTAATGATTATATGGGGCCAGTTTCACAAAACTTTAAAAAACTGGCCAATGTGTTAGAATGTTGGTTACTTTTTAGTGGAACTCTGCGTGTACTTACATGTGTATGCACTTATCAAGGACTGATGTTAAAAAATTCCTTTTTAAGTAAACCAAAAGTTCTGACCAACTCTTGAGTTCTTATGTGAGGCTGGGCCTTGAGAAATTGAACCTTTTTTTCTTTTTAATTTAAAATAACCGGAAAATGGCACCACTGTTAAACATGCACAATTAATGTATTGCAGAAAAGAAAAAAAAAAAAAAAAACAGACAGCATCCAAAAGGTGTAAGTCTTCTTTCCACATGCAAGTCAGAATTGTTTAAAGTAAAATTGTATTTTATAAGAAGTTTGGTGAAAGACCATGTTGTTTGAGGTGAATTCCAACAGGTTTAAAGATGACTGATCAATCAAATTGGTGCCCTTGTCCATCTAAGCTGCTCTGGGCCTGTCATACTATTGGTTATTTAGAATCTTACAACCTTGTGCAAAGAACTACATAGGCATGAAAAAGAACCCCAATTTCAGTTTAAATTTGGTGGGCAAATGTCAAATAAAATAATTATATACTAATCCTAAGGCAGCAGTATGCTTACTTTAAGGCTTGCTTTAGATAACCTTCAAATTTCCCAGTATCCACTGTGACTGAGCCTTTCTCTTCCAACTGTTTTATGACATCTGTAAGACAAAAAAGGACATCAAAGCAGAAATCCACATTACCTTGAAAATTGTGAAATCAGTGTGTACTAAAATTATTGAGCTATAAAACTGCAGACTACGATGAAAGTGGACCTTTTTTAAAATATCCTGAAAATGCAAGCACTAAAGGCATGGACCTTCATACTAGGCAAATTTTTATTAATTTTCTATAATTATTCAGATTTCGGGATAAATCCATGATACCATTTTTCTCTGAATGGGAAATATATTTCACATAATTAAAAAAAACCCTAACAACCAGAGGTGATTGAATACAAAACTGTTTTGACCAAGGTATTCACGTACATATTCTTGTTTTAAAGGAAAAAATCATTTAACAAAATAAATGTTTTAACGTTTTTGTGATTCTTTCAAAACTGATTTGAAGAACATTAACTAGTAGGACGTTACCTGAGGAGTCAATGAAATATTCTGAGGTAAAAGAATTCCAATGTTTCTTAGTTTTTAGACATGGCGAGTCAAAGTCTTGGCTAATAACATGAAGATGAACTTGGCTGAAATTATACAGAAAAATTTTAACAAAATGTTACAAAGAATATTAATTCCTGACAAATATAACAAGCTATTAACCATAAAACTGTGAAGTCAATTCCACACCAAAATAAATGTCATTGTTTTCTTAAGAAAAATACCTTGAAAATCAATTTTAATATTCCATACAGCACAACTCATCCCTCTACTTCTTTACTGCCACAAGATAAACCTTACATCTGGACTACGGTTATGTTTCCAAATGACAATTTCTCTGATACTCCCCCATCAACTACATGTACATTGTACACTGCCAGAGTGTCTCCTAGTCCATCGGCTTAAGGACCATTCCCACAGATATTTGGATTGGTCTAACTCCCTGGGAGACATTTAAGCTGGTTAAGTTGATAGCAATTTAGTGAGACACCCCAGGGAGTTAGACCAATCCAGATGGATGTATCTAGGCATGGGAACCCAGTCTTATTCTGTAACAGCTAGCTAGTAGAGCACTGGGTAGAGACTGCATTATCAAAAAATGTAAAGTAAACGATACCCAAGCCTAGTTTATTCCATGGAATTTTATTTATTTATTTATTTATTTATTTTTGCTCTCTAACCTCATGCTTGGAATTCCATGATATCCCAGCCTAAACTGACACTGAGGAGACCTGGTAAATATAATAATTATTTCAGTTTAAATAGAAAATATATACATTAGAAGTTGTTCTCTGTAATGAGCTCTTAAAATAAACTTGATTATTCAGAGTAAGTTTAAGCTGCACAATTAAATAAAATGTATTACTTAACATCCTAAGATGGCTTATGGGATAAAAACTCCTTCATATACTGATGATAAAAATGAAAGTAACAAATAATAAATATTAAAGTTTTTACAGATAACAGCTTCTAACAAAAAAAAAAAAAAAAAAAAAAAAAAACTGCTTGAGAAACAAGTAATAAAAATAAAGGGACTTCTGCTGGTTTTGATATGGGGTTAAATGCAGAGAAATGATATTGGACCCTCACTTGTCTGCAAGTTCTTGTCCTTTTTTCTGCATGTGTTTCAGCAAAGGAATATGCTCAGCATTTAGACTTTTCAAGTTGCGGATATCTTCCTTTGGTAAGATAAGGTAATGCTGTCTTGCCTGAAAATAAATCCCCTTATATAGCAATTAAGGCAGTTAACTAAGAGACCATGGTAATCGTTACAGTATGCACATGACCATACAAAAAATTTTTAAGTACTACAGTATATATATCAGCTTTTAAAATCTGTTTAATCAATTCATGCAAATTCAGGATAAATATTGAATTAAAGGAATACAGGAAATGTGATGGGTAAGAATTTAAAGGTGAGAAATGAGGGTAAATGAAAACATTGCAAAATTTTCATGTACAGGTATATTGTAGAAATAAAAAAGTTGAGAGAGAGAGAGAGAGAGAGAGAGAGAGAGAGGGAGAACATGAGCTAGGAGGAGGAAGAATTGTCTTTCCAAAGGGGGAATTAAAAAGGAAACTTTTGGTCAAAAGACAATCCTGTAAATTGTGTAATAACATCAACCCCTACAGTACAGGCTATTAGGTTCAACTTAAAACACGTACTGGTACATTCTCAAACGTTTGCAGTTTTCACCATAACCAAAACAATACATGTGTACATATACCAGGGTGGCATGTACCCGAACACATACGGAGTACTACAGATGTACTACAGTTAGGAGGTACATACATGTATGTGTACGTGTACTCGTGAGTACCAGTGCCCACCACATTAATGCGTCAGTACCTTTGGGTATTTGTCCTTTATTATGACAACTTTGTCATCGTCTTCGACCCTAAGTGCGGGGTCTTCCATCGAAGACTTAAGCCCCAATGCCCAAGGTGGCACCGGTCTTTTCTTGTCGTGTTTTTCACCATGGTTGTCCGCTTTCCGCTTCACGCCGCTCGAGTTTGACACTTCCACAGCACACATGCTCTCCTGTTTATCAAAACTGACGATAGATGTCAGCGCAGAAGCTTTTAAAATTCATTTTGATTGCAAATTTAAAATAATTTGCTGAGTAGATTAAATGAAACACGAGTGCATACACTTTCTTATTGACTTCATATTTTTGTATTTTTGGATAAACAGCAACTTTTGAATGATAATTATGACTACCTGTTGAAAATAACAGTGTTAGTTCACGTGACGGGGGAATTCCCTGGTCTCAGATTGGATGTAAAATATCATGTCCAAATTGAGGCCAACCTATATTTAGGAAGACGGGTCAACAGGCACATGTATTCAAGATGAAGCTTTCAAGTTGTCACGGTAAGCTATGCGGTCCCTTGACTTTTATGTCATGTCACTTTCTTTTGAAGGAAATGGACTAGGAATTGCATGTTAAAATTGGCCAGAAGACGAAGATATAACGACTGTCAACCGCCAAACCATTTAGGCATCACACACATGTAGCGGCACATTTACTGTAGAAATCAACATAATTCATTTTTTAATTCACTGGGACGTTTCCAGCGATTTAAATACGTAATGTTTTCAATCACGCAGAAGCGTTATTCGCTGCCAATATGTTTTTTGAAAGTTAAAAAAATGGTGAAGAGGCTTAACCCGGACAGAATCACCGGCCCACATGTCAAAATTTCCGAGGATAAATATAGAATTATGAGTCATGCGCCGGGAGCAAGTTATGTCCATTTGCGTTCCCATTTGTGGGACAGCTTTTTTTGTTGAGTTTTAATAGAGGTCCGTAGGCAGGTGGGTCGGGGGTTCGAAAAAAAACGCCCTTTTTGTCAGGCAAAGATCCATTACGGGCAAAATTTGATCCAGGTATAGACAAAGGTTTCATTGGAAAAAGGTCCATTCATTCAGAAAGAGACCCCCCCCCCTTTTGAAATTGCTGGCTACGGGTTTGAATAGGGCTACTTTTGAAGTCATATGATGTTTAAATTTGACAACTGATTCATTGATTACAAATCACAGGTCTAGAGAAACATATCCCAAGACAAATTTAAAGTTATCTGAATGCACGCATACAGGTACGTTGTACATGTAACTTTGGTCAAGCTGCATGGCCACTAACTTGATTGCTCAACAGGTCTTTCAAGTCAACATTTTGAGGGACACTGGCCTCAAAAGAAGACCTATGTTTTCAGAGATGGCTGAACAACTTACAACATTTTTGGAGAATGATGATATACTGTAGTCATACTTTTCCTACATTTTGAGTAAGACCCCTCTACTTTGAAAGAAAACCTCCTACTTTTCCTTCTTTTTAATGAATTCAATTAAGAATTTGTTGTTTTGGAAAAGTTCCTTGTAACATTGCAAAGTTCCATGTAAGGGGGGGGGGGGGGTCACATCGGTGGACCCCCATTTCCAGTAATCCTGGATATAATTTGCTCTTGTAGGTCACATACAGTGGACGCAACCAGTAGTTGTAACCTTGGACCTAAATAGAGAAGGACAAGTAACGCGGCATCTTCCTTTGAAGCTATGTGCGTTCGGGTAAACATTCGCCCATTGTCTCACATAATCTGTTTTGATAGCTCCACGGGCGTCTGAACAGCTTATTATTAAGGTAGCGCGCGCTGTGCTTCAGTGCATTTCTATTGTTTCTCTGCATTGATAACGCAATTTCTCGCAGTCCCTCGTGGTTGCTATGATACAGCATTGCCACCATCTTGCAGTTGCGAGCACACAGGTTTCCGTCAACACGTGGAAATTTATTGAGGGGTTTTCGGCATTTTTCCCCCGTTACCTCATAAAAACGGGTTGTGAAGTTTGTCTGCAATACCTGCTGTCTTTTCCTGTCCGTGAGATAAAAAAAAATGCATATATTTGATATAAAAAATCTTCTTTTTATTTCTTTTCACTTCTTTTTTTTTTACACAACTTTAAATAATAAAAGATTTGACAAATAAGACGCATATCACTGCAAGAGGGTCAATGTCAAATGTGAGTATGAATTTTATCAGGATCAGATTTTTTAAACCTGTAGTTAGTGTATTCTGAGGTAATTGAATATGCAATTTCAATCAAGCAAGAAAAAACTGTCTAAACATATAATCCATGTTTTTTACATTGGATTTTTTTTCATTATAAGATAGGAAATATAAAACAACTTGAGTACATTCCAATATTTATTATTATAAAAGTAAACATTAAAATTTTAAAATGCTTGTTACAAAGCTAGTGATGATGAATATACAATACATGTGCAGTTTTCTTGTCTTGTCTCTTTTTGTGAAAGTCATGTTGGAGTTCTTTCCTATTTGTATCCAAGTAGTATTAACTTATTTATAAAAGGTATAAACTAATTTCTCATTGACCTATGTGAATTACTGTCCAAATGTTTAATTAGTGAGTCTCCTCTTGGGCAATGGTGCATTGTCCAATTTTAACTTTCTGGCATCTTGTGGAGAGAATCTGGAAGAGAATAAGAATGTTTTTATCACAAACTACTATAAATGACAATTGCCTTTTTTACTTCTACTTGGACATTTGAGCCACAGGTAAGCCTTATCAAATGCATCTCAAGATTCTACCTGTCAGGTAGATTTTCCCTCTAGTTAAATTTACTTCCCTTGTTAGGCATGGACTTTCTAGATCATTATCAGCCAGGTAACTAAGCCGTCTGGCCCTTTGATGATTTGATAAAGCCAGCTAGGTGCTATCCAAAGGCATGTCTCAGGATTATTTCAAAGATTTCAAGCACCTGATAACAAGATAATGCAATGTAGCAAGGCAATTACAGAGGTGAGACTCTTATCACAAATGTGATCAAGATCTACTTTTATGACCATTACCCGAGTAAATATAATCATGAACTTTGCATGTGTACATGTCCACATATACACTTTCACTATAAGACCAATGAGGGTGTTTGTCAATCGTCTTTATTCTGTTTAGGGAATCCAATTTAAAAATGAAAAACTAATAATTATTATTCTCAAACTGGAGCAGACTTTAGCCGGTCATGTGAATATACATATATACTTCAGAGTAGAGTTAATGTCAACTTTGATAAAAGGATATTAAAAGGCCCACAGGTGCGTTTTTTGTGTGTCACAATTGCATGGGTGGTGCCATATTGCAATGATAGCCCATATTAAGAGTTAAAAAAATAATAATTATCATTCTCAGACTGGAGCTGACTGGAGCCGGTAATGTGTAAATATATATATACTTTAGAGCAGTGTTAATGTCAACTTTGATAAAAGGATATTTAAAGAATCACAGTTGCGTTTTTGTGTGTAACAATTGCATGTGTGGTGTCATATTGCTATGATAGCCCATATTGAGAGTCAAAAAAATAATAATTATCATTTTCAGACCAGAGCTGACTGTAGCCGGTAATGTGTAAATATATATATACTTTAGAGCAGTGTTAATGTCAACTTTGATAAAAGGATATTAAAAGGATCACAGGTGCGTTTTTGTGTGTCATAATTGCATGTGTTGTGCCATATTGCAATGATAGCCCATATTGAGAGTTATAAAAATAATAATTATCATTCTCAGACCGGAGCTGACTGTAGCCGGTAATGTGTAAATATATATATACTTCAGAGCAGTGTTAATGTCAACTTTGATAAAAGGATATTAAAAGGATCACAGGTGCGTTTTTGTGTGTCACAATTGCATGTGTGGTGCCATGTTGCAACGAGAGCCCATATTAAGAGTTAAAAATATTAATTATCATTCCATAATTCGGGCTCACTTAAGCAAGTAACATAAACCTATACATATAGTACACAGCGGTGTTGATGCCACCTTTATCTAAACCGTACGTAAAAAATACCAGACCTAAAACGATGTCGGCGAGTCGAATAAATCGGAGAGGAATTGCGTCATTTCAATTCAAAACACGATTTGAGGTTAAATTATTGCCGCATCTATGGCTAATTCTTTACATAGAGGTAAAATTTCGAGACTAGAAATATTTTTCTATCGGATCATAGCTAAAGACAAGTATTCGACACCGCAGTTGTACAATTTTAAACACTCATTTTACGGCAACAAACACGATTGCCTTCACCATATTGGGCATTTTGAATTCCTCCATGAACAAACATACCTTATTCTCATCTAGCATCCAAAATAGCAAAAGAAATTGTACTTACATTTTATCTCTATAAGTGTCTTGACTCATCCACCCGAACGTTTTCCTCGCGTTATCACCAGCTACCTGTCCAAATGACACAAAAAGTCATCAACAGCCGCGATATGCTCGCTACCTGTACGGGAGGTCACGTGATCCGAACGCACATCGTTTCGCGAAGAGCTCGCGCTAAGCCGATTATCCTTTGATCTTTCTCCGCGTTACTTGTCCTTCTCTATTTAGGTCCAAGTTGTAACTGACTTTTCCCAAGACTGGTGCTTGGGAAAATAGGTTGAATGCAACGAAGCAAAAGAAAAGAAGAGCAATAGACTGTATTGAAATACAAGTGCTATTATTGTATTGTTTGAATTAAGCGCCAACCGTGGTATAGTGTATACACGCTGTAATAGTAAAATTCAGTGTGGTAATGTTACTTTTTTTCTCGGTTTTTATAGTTCTGCAGAAATCATAAGGAGATTATTATGGAGTCGCTCCAAAGGTGAAAGCGTGTTCGTGTCTAGTTCAGTGTGCATGTTATATGTAACTTAGGGGGCATTCCCATAGATTTTAGGTCGATCTATCACCATGGAGAGTCTCACTAGATTACTGTCAGATCCGGCTTAAATGTCTATCCCGCCTAATACAAGTTGTAAGGGGGTAATTAACTTTTGTGCCTGCTCGGCTGACAGCTATTCAGCTTGAACCCCCAGGGAGTTAGGTTGATCTAGTTGGATCGATCTAATCTCTGGGAATGGGGTCTTAAATGCATTCTGGAAAATAATAAATTAAAATGATAAATAAATAAAATGAAAATCTACTTCTACTGTCCTGGGGAAATCCCTGCTTCTCATTGTCTGCAAGCTAGGCCTTTGGTCTTTCTTATCAATTAATTGTCCAGTCGTGTCACAAATTAAGAACAAGATGAACAAGGAAGTAGCTGATTTTACTCACATGGTGCAGAAACGGAGATAGTTTGTAAATCAAAAGTGGATGTACATGTACGTATTGCGAGTGCTTCCTGCCCTCGAGGTACATGCATTGTACACCTTCTAGTGGTTGTTTTAGAATGGATTTTTTAAGCCAATGAATTTTCACTTTCTGATTCATTGTATTTGTTTAACAGTTGCAGAAAATACTTTATTGAACTAATATTTACATTGGTAACAATTTTATTGTACTGTATATATAGTAGTTAGCCTAAATTGTAATTTAGAAAAAAATCAATATGTTACTGTTTATATTTCTTTTATCCCTGGGAAGGGTATGAAAATTGGTCAGAGCTGATCTCTTTGAAGAAAAAAAAGGGCATATTGCATATTCAGCCAGACCTTGAATGTGCAATTTTCACAAATGCATATATATATATACATGAACATGTAGTTACTAAATGAGCTAAATCTTGTAAACAGTTAACTTTTTTTCCTAAGGTCATGCCCTTCAGTTTCTTATGTTGCCAATCAACATTGTAGAAATGAAAATATTTATCATATTATCTATCGTATTTGTCTATAAATATACATTGGTCAGCATTACTGTTCATTGATTGTGGGGGAGGGGGGGAGGTGTACCAAATCAATGCACAGAATCTTAACATCCTTTTTCATTTTTAATTAAAGGAGGAAGCTCATATGAGAAACAATCACTTTTGACGTTTTCTTCCTATTTTATGTGAAACTAACATTTTACACCATCCTTAGTGAGTAATAGCCCCAATGCTGCTTAAATACAGTATAAATACAAGGGTATATTCACATGTACATTATCTTATCTGAACTCTTCACTTCTTATTGACAGGTCAACGTCCCCTGCTAAGATAGACCTATAGTGGGGTTCCCTATGTAATCAGTGCGGGCAAAGAGAGGACTAGAGAGGCTCATATCTCTGTGTTTGTTAACTGGTAACAGTGGAGGTAAGTACGTCATTTTAGTTTTGGTGTTTTCTGTAATATACTACAGGGCTGTAGGGTGAGATTGAAGGAGTTTGAATAGAGTACGGTAACGACTGGATCTTTTCAATTGGCAAAAGTTATCAAACTATCAAATACATCATTTTAAAACCATAAAATTTACACTTCTGTATAGCCTTTGTGGTGCTTTTAATGCATAGAATAGGACTATAAGGTAGTCTGCTTTTCAATTTTGTAGTCACCACTCAATAGGAATGCTCTTATTACAAGAAATTAAGACTTAAAAATACAGTAACTGTAAAATTCACAATTTTTCCCCATTGAAAAGATCACTGAAAAGTCATTACCATACGCTTTCCACTGGGAACATGCAGCTCTGAATCAAAATTGGATTTGTGTGAATTTTATGCTGTTTTTCAAGTTGGATCAACAAAGAGTAAAAAAAAAAAATTCAGGAAAAAGATTACCCATCTGAATTTTGCAGGCTTACTTGCATATCTCTTAGTTCCCAAATTTCAAGTATATATTCTGTATTGCACTAGTTCCATAATACTGCATGTAATGATCTTCTTTTCTGCATTAGTTTATAGATTAGAACTTGGCATTATTGCAATATGTATACTGTTACTTGTACATATTGCTGAAAGAGCTTGAAATTTTATTAATTACAAATTCAGGTTCATGTGTAGTGATGTAAAATAAATGCTGGGGTAGCGCTAACACTCGCCAATTTAGCCAAGTGCTAAAACTGACTTATATTGGCTAAAGAAAAAGGGCTTGATTTGACATGTTTTAGCCAAATTATAACCATTTTGGTAACAAATTGACGAAAATGTGGTGATTTGGCTAAGCGAAAAAAATTGCTAGCGCTACCCCAGAAGTGCTAGTAATTAAAAGGAAAGTGATAAGCTAAAAGCAAGATAACCGAAAGTGCATGAATTTCAAAGTAAACTGTACAAATACTGAAAGTGTGTGATTCATCAGAATATGATTTTTATTCGAATGAAATGAGAGATCGGTTGGATTCAAGAGTGAGAAATTTATTTCTATTTCAGTTTTAAATCAGGACCAACGGAAAGGACCAAAGAAACAATTGCCTGATCGTACCAAGAGACTGTTATTTTTTTTAATTCAGAGGAAGTATCTATTAGACATGGATTTAATTGATGATTGTGAATCACAGCATGTAGGGGAAACCTTAGAAACTTTTGTGAATTTGACTGATAAAGGTGAGTGTATCACGGAGTGTCTTGTAACAGTAAGTTATATAATTATTATTACATATATTAAAATGTCATTAATAACAAGAAGGTGAGAATTAAAGGAATCTTACATACCCCCAAATATTGCATAGAATATAAAATGTACAAACCTTTTATTTTCATTGCCACTTGTACTTGTAGCATATGCACTTGTATTAATAACATACGCAAATGATAGGGTATTGAATATATATATATATACTGTGTACAGTGAGTATATATATATATATATTTGCACTGTCAACAAAGAAGTGTGATTTATTCTCTTCCTCCATTACATGTGTATTTGAATATTGTGGGATGACAAAAAGAAACGGGAGGGAGGAAAATCTTGATATGTGTTGGTGACTATAAACCAATCCATAAGTCAGAATTTTATTATTTCTGAAATTCTGATTTCAATTTTGCAGTTTTACAGTATTTCAGTATTTCATTTTCCCCTCTTTTCTCGTTTTTCTTTCTTGATCATGCACCGAGTCCAAAGTTTCGGTCAAGGCAACTAAAGTGTCATTTTGCCAATTGTTATTTGAATATTTTTATTGACTCTTTTACAGACAACGCAAAAAATGCTGACGAAAGTGGCTACGACTCTTCACTAGAGGTCAGTAGCCAAAATACCAGTTGTCCAAGCTCTTTGGAATCCAGCAGTAGTGATGAGGTATTTTTTTTATAAATCATTGTTGTAATTTTGATTAATATTGATGAAGAATCTGTTAACGTAAGGGATTAATGATAACATTGTATAATGCTCAACTACAAATGATATTTTATTTTAAAATATCATATGGTTTTTCAAATGTACTATTCAGTAGAAAATTATTTGCCAGGCCTGAAAAAAATTGATAAGCTGGTAAATGAGCAGGAATCTTAAGAAAACAGTTGGTAGATGATTTTTTTCACATTTGATGTTTAAGATGTATAGGAGATCATTCTCAGGTTTTTTTTTTTTTTCAATTGTTGTTTTTTTACTTGTACGCTATGCATTTTTTAGTAAAGAAATTAGGTGTAAAGAAAACTTTTGATTTCCTTAAAATTAGGATCAGTTGCACTCACCAATCACTTCTGTCTTATCAATTTTGGCGGGCCTGATCACTCTAAGCAGATCTGTACATACGCTGTTCAACTTCTTCACACATTCACTGTGCCTTATATAACTCATATTTATCATACCAGGTTGAAGAGGAACCTGAAGTTTTACAGAGTCAGTTGTATGTCCAGCACCCTAAACACAGGTCATCACTGGACAGAGAGCACCATCTCCTTGGTTTGGAGATTGGAATGGATGAGGATGGTCAGCATATTATAGTGTCCATACCAGAAGACGGATTGATTTACGCTTGGTGAGTTATTTGAGTATTGTGCCTAATTGACATGTATGTGCGTGTATGCTTGTGTGTGAGCACACACATGTACATCTTACTGTAAAAACTTGAAAATTTCGTCATCTAAAAATTAATTAATATTTAAAAATGTAGGAATCAGCCACAGCCATATTACTTGACGAACTTATCAAAATCATCAGGGGCCCATTTTCAAGTTTGAAGAAATTTTCAAAGTAAAAGAAAATGTCTATGGAGAATTGACCTCTGACAAAATTATCAAGACAGTTTAAAATTTTAAGTTTTTACTGTAGACGTAGGTTACCAGATAATATGTTTACCTGAAAATTTAAAACTTGTTAGCATATAAATAATTTAGCTCAGTGTTGATGTATTGACGTGCATAAATTTTCAATTTTTACAACTTTCAACAGTGATAATGACAGGGTGTAGTTAAGACAGCCTCAACTTCCATTGAGTGTTTGAATATTGTATTGGCAGCTGAAATACACACGATCTACAAAACACCAGAAGAGACACCTAGCTAAGAGTGATGCGCTTTTTCAATTAAACAATTTTGGCCTTCTTAGCCTGTCTCAAGTATTTATTATCAGACATGGGCATTTTCCAAGGAAATGTGGAATTCCACATTTTTTAATTCAATTCTGATGGTTCATGAGATTCAAAAACTGCAAGAAAATGATAAATGTTCAGAGGTTGTTTTAAAACCTAGGCTCATGTCTGATTATTATTTTCTTCTTTTCTTTCATAGGCTTGCGAGTGGTAGTCAAGCATTACAAGTAGGGGATATCGTCACGCATTTCAACGACTTACGGGTCAAGGACTGGCATCACAGGGCTGTGGTGGACCAGTTCACTGCTGTAGAGGATGAGTGGACATTGGTCAGTGAAAATGTTTTTATATGGCTACTTCATGTCCCAGTATTAGATTAGAGTAAACTAATCAGGGTGTTGAGCTGTAGAAGAGACATAGTTACAAAACCTTTGTGATGTAAATTGTACGAGAGCGGAAACCTCCGCCAAGGCAACGATTTTTGATTATTATTGATTATTGATTGATTATTGATCCGGATCACCACCAAAACTAATCATCTCTCCCTCGGCCCACTTCTGACAGTTCCTGAAAATTTCATCAAAGTTGGTCCATAACTTTTTGAGTTATGTTGGTGACAGACAGACAAACAAACAGACAAACAGGTGTGAAAACATAACCTCACCCCCTCCCACACCTTCCCCCCCTTGCTCAGGCTACAGCCCTGAGATTTACCGTGGGAAAGTAGTCAAGTGAGACGGCCATATTTGACCCTCGGACTAGTTAGTCCACTGTTTTGAATGTGGCCTTTGACACTTTAAATTTCTTCTTCTTATGCTTTAAACCTGGTTGAAATTTTGCAGCATGGCAACATTTCCAGTTCCTTGAAGGGCTTTCTTTTGACACCCCTCCCAGCTATGTATATACTGAAAAAAGTTCTTTGTACATATCCTGTTTTACTGTTGTATTCCAGACTGTCAAAAGGCCATCGATAGCAAAGGGTAGAAAAAAGTGGCATTTCTGGAACGTGACATTCAAGCTGATTGTAAATGGTATGATGAAAAAAAACATTTCTACTTATGCTGTATCCGTTATGGTGAAAGTAATGTAATTTTTAAAAGTAGATCTTAATTTTTCTGGATTTTAACGGTAATCATTGAAAACTTGTTGTGCTTAACTCCATTTAAAACATTTACTTTTCTGAATATCTTAAGTGATAAATTAACACAGGTATTAGAATATGATCTGGAATATTTCCTATAAACTACTGAGCCTATATGAAAAAATAAAGTGAAATTTTGAATAATTTCTTTTAGATGATGTAAGCCTGGACCTTGACATAACCGTAGAAAGAAAACTCTACTTTGACAAAGGAACATACATCACAGACATTAAGCATTATGAAATATCCTGCAAGTGGGTGTACATACATACTGGATACGGAAATCACTGCCTGAAATTTGAAGGTGGAAATCTTGTGGTTGATTCTTTAAACAGTCGTGATGAGAATTGTGAGTGTAAAATTTGTTTTCTCTCTATTTTTTTTTATCTATTTAAATGTATGACTGCCCTGGTATATCAGGACTGGCTTAAGTAACCCTCTCCCAGCTAGGCCTGTGGAAATATGTGAACTCTTCTGTATTGGGACACAGAGAACAAAATGGCTGTCTATATATCTACAGACATACCTGTGAATATCAAATGAAAAATCAATCCGTGGCCCAGGTAGAGGGTAGGCTCAAGTTGATATAACCCATCTATATCATTATGATCAGCTCGCCATATGCAATACAGCCAATCTAACCCCTTTGCTTCCCGCCCAGTACTTGTATTTGAGGTAAGATGTTAAGTTCACTAGTGCAAGCTGATCTAAATGAAATCTAACAGCTGAAATGGGAGTTAGTGAGCTTGGCAGACTCAGCTTGACTGGGAACTCGACTTAACGCTTAAAACAAATTGAAATTAATTGAAATTGGTATCACAAGGTATACAATGGATTTTGTACAGTCTACTGACCTTCCTGATGGGAATAGGAAGAATCAGTGTATTTTTAAAGATCAATGCACCTCTTTTTTAAAAGATTATGTTACTACAAGATTCAGATTTGGAGAACAAAAAAAAATTAGTAAATGTTTTTTTTTCAGTTCGCTTTTATATGATGTTCTTCAATGGCACTGATCAAGACCCCAAAGATGCTGGGGAGACTGTGTACTTGTGTCAGATAGGAAATCTGGAGAAGAACAGATTTGTGACAGTACTTAGTCCAACAAGTGTCGGGGTGCAGGTATGATGATACGTAAACTGTGCATGCACTAGCTCATACAGATATATATATATATATATTGACGCTAGAAAATGTATGAAAGAACATCTGAAAGTGTGGGGGCACATGTGCACAAACACACACACACGTTCACACACACACACACACACACACACACACACACACACTGAGATGTATCCATAGGAAAGAATACTTGCAAGCTCATATGCACACAAGAACACTCATGCGTGCACACACATATACATGCATGGGTACACACACATATATGAACAAATTGTACAAAACAGATATTATTCAAGTGATAAACTGTTGAAATAAAAAAATTCAATTGTTTGATGATTCATTTTGTTAATAAATTAAATGTTCAGTAGAAATTCATAGTTTGATTTTGATGACCAAGACTAATACGGTGGGTAAATAAAAAAATGATATCCTCAAACATGGCCAGTGTAATAATTTATTTTAAACAGTGGGATATACTAGTTCCAAAATTGACTGATAGACTTTTATTTAATTTTTTAACCTTGCATTTTAATTATTTTGTTTTAAATTTGTTCACACGTGCCTTTATTCTTATTCACTAGTGATTTTATTCCACTATGATGCAAATAATGTATTTATCCAATCCTCAGGTTGCAAATTTGATAATAATAATAATAATAATAATAATAATAATAATAATAATTTATTACTCTAGGCCACCCCTGCATACAGAGTCAAGAACAATTGCATCAAGAAACCAGATCCCAAACTTTTCAAGCAACACAAAGGCCCCAACCATTCTGTCTACTTGGAATCATTGATTCAACCTGGTGGGTATAGATTGCAACCAGTCAATCAAGTATTGAAACATAAGAGCCATGGAGAGTCCCATTTGCACAAAGATTTATTGGTGGCCATGATGGAGTTATTGCATGTTGAACAAGACTAAGGCTCCATTCAGAATAGGGGACTAACTAGTCCGAGGATCAAATATGGAAGCCCACTACAAACTGCTGTCTAATCCACTAATAGACACTGAATAGATATCCCGAAGGGAAGTATTTAAAAGGGGGGGGGGGCATATTTTACCCTCGGACTACTGTATTAAGTCCCCTATTCTGAATAGGGCCTACCAGTAAGACTTTAAATTTAAAATGTCCTGTTTTGTGTGATATTTTCCATTGAAACTGATGAAGATTGCATGTTTACTTTTAAGCATTTATTGTCCAATGCCAACTTCACGATTTCCATTCATTTAAGTTTCAGTCTGACCACATTTTCAAGACTAAATTTTTGGCAAATTCAGTCCAAAGAAAATTTTATTACCTTTCCCTGCAAGTATGAGCCTTCTTTTGCAACCTGAAATAATTTTCTTTTTACTACCAGTACTAGTGCAATTCTAATTTTTTTAAAACTTGGTATTGCCAAGTTACTGAATTTTTTCACTGAAAAGTAAAAGATAGACAGTTAATCTCTTTTGCTTGTTTTTCTATTGCTTAATTGATCCAACCTATTCCTTTCAGATCACTATGTTGCAGTCACTGATGAAGGAAAAGTGTTTCTCAAAGAGAAAAGACGCAGCAGTGAGGACGATCCAAGAGACTTTGTAGATGATCATGAGGTGAAATGTGTAACAATTAAGCTATGCCATTTTTTAAAAATTGTAACCATACATATACTTGCATTTTTTAGTTCTTCTCAATGGCTGCTGGTGTACACCCAAAATAGTTTAAATGGATGGAAATTTTCAGTTTGTTATTACTGGAGGGGAATGCTTGCTGCCACTCCCAGGGATGGATTTAGAGATATTTTCTGACAGTATTCCATTTATCTTTGTTGATCCATCCTCAATATTTGACTGTCTTCCTACAGAAAAAATTAGATGTCTGTTAAGATAAACTTGAAATATTCTGACTGTCTTCGGGAAGACCCTTAACATGGCCATCATCTGCCCATGACCCCCAATATTGTTATAATTAGTTTATGATTTTTTTGTCATTTTATGATAATAAATTCAAGGTGTGATTGCATTATTAAAGTTGTTTTTTGATCTCTGAAGTCTTATTTATTGGGATTAAACAGGCCTATTGAATAATTGATTTTGTTTTTCAGGTTTCACTGCAGTTTTTCTTTGA